TAATTGTACAATGATAAAACATTGGTGCAGATTGCTTTTAGATGAAAACAAGTTATCTTCAATTTTATATAAATTTGCATATTGTCGGTAGCATACAAATAACGACGATATTGTATAGATACAAAATACAGTACATAAAACCACATGCTGGATTCTCAAACCTATTTCTATGATAGAGAACAAAAATGTTATCTAGTAAAAATTCAAGTGCAGTTATCGTTTCAAAGTTGACATTGTTGTCTTGTTTGTTGTTACTAAAAAATGACCTAAAAGAGTTTGAAGATATGTATTCGCATTCTGACTTTTTAATGCCTTTTTAAATAGGTGTGTGAATGTTTTTTTAATCAGATTATGAGGCAAAGTGGCATATAGGATAGAAAAATCAAAACTTTGAACAGATTCGAAATCACCAATATGAACATGCAATTTATCAAGTACTTTCAACGAATTTTTGACGCTCCAAAAGTAATTACTTCCGCTTTTTATTATCATTAGTTTAGTAGTTGAATAACTTTAACATTTTTTTATAATTAAAATGTTTCTTTAGAAATATTAATTCACTTTATTTGTTGATTAAGTATATTTTTATATGTCATCTCATCTCATAATTTTTATACATATTTATTTTTTTATGTATGTTTAATTTCATTTACTCTTCTCTATAAACTTTGCTCTTGCATGTTTTTAATGAGAATTAATTTTCTTTTTGCAAAAAAGTATGCGTCAGTGAAAGAGCAACCCGACAATAACAATAACCAAAAGAAATTTATAACAAAACATAATTGAGAGTTTTAAACAAAAGATATAATTTTTCAGGTCTTATTCTTTCCACACAATAATTCAAGCTTTTAATTGTCCCAACGTCTATAAAAGTTGAGAATAAGTTTTTTAAAACCAATCAAATATCTGTCATCATCACCAAGTCCTCACCAAAACTGTCAGGTATGACATACGACAAGTCCCGAAGAGGTTCCTTGTTTGGGAAAGGTGCACGAACATGTGTCGTGGCTATTTTATTTTCTCAACTCTCCTACTTTTCAAATTTCGATTTGTAGATAAAAATGTACATCAAAGAAAATACACTAAAATCAGTTTAGAAAATGTACTTTAATCTAAATAATGGATAAATAAAAATGATATTTCGCACTAAATAATGCCAACAGTAATTGAAAACAATTTCATAGTTTAGAACTAATCATGCTGATAAGAAATTATTTTGGGCTATTCTTTATATTACATGTATTAGTTGATGTACTTTATAGAAGATTTCGTAGAGCATCGGTTTGATCAATACAAGAAGACATGATTTTGTGTAATGCCCCAAAACAAAATAAACAGAAAAACAAAAGGAAAAACTTAATTAGTGAAGAGAGTATCCAAAATACCAATATAAACACGCGTATATCAAATCAACTGAGATATTAATATATACACTCGTATAGCCCTATGAATATCCCCATATAGGAAAGGACAAGTAACAAAATGGGAAGACTTCTAGTATCTAGTTGAATATCATTTTTAGTCTGAATATAACCGTGTGAAATCACAGTCACTTGTCTCCTCGGTCTCTATAATAGAAAAACAAAGATTAGGGGTTTCCATCAATGGCACAAAATCAGTGCATGCACATCAAATACACACAAAAAGCAAAGGAAACGCGTTTTTCTTACTGGTCTTTATATATATTATGCATACTGTCATGTACATAGCATGCAAAAGGTGTGGATTGGTACAGAATAATGAATATAAATAAAGAATCGAGAAAAATCGACCCCCCCCCAAATGAATGTAGAATAATGAGCTCTTTCAACATCAAAAACAGAGAATAGTTGCGAACAAGAAAAGACAGAAATGACTTTAAAATTAAGGAACAGCGAAATGAAGACCCTCAAAGAATTTAAATTTCTATGTGGAAAGAATATTTAAAACATGTCAGCCATCCGTGAAGGTTAATAATAAAGACATATGTTGTTTCAAAACACTACAATAATGAAGAATCATTCAGTTGTTTTGCTACTGTCTGTACTTGTATGATTGTTGATTGCATTCTATGGATTCAAAGTTGAACAAAGAATTGATCAAATTAAAGACGATTTCGTTAATGCAGAAATCCAACACGGAAATGAAATAAAGAAATTGAAAGTAGAATTGGAATTGACGAAAGAGCAAATTGATACACATCGTAAAGATATGATAAAAAAGGACAATGCCTACAGGTAAGAAAATGCCGAAAAAAAAGAAAACACGATGAAGTTTAAAGACGAGTTTGTTTATGCCGAAATGTTACACAAAAATGAAACGAAGAAAGTGAAAGAAGATTTGAAATCGATGAGTGAGCAAATTAAGGTACTTAGTAAAGAAATGACAGACAAAGACGATGCCTGCAGGAAAGAAATTGATCAAATAAAAGAAACGATACAGTTACTTAAAGAAACAGATATTCCTTACGAAAACTCATTTCTTGATATTAGAAAAGGTAAACAAACATAGTCGTGAATACACTGCAGCTATATACAATTTCTAACTGGAGAACATGACTTTCATTACAAAATTGCTTTGTCTCCATCGGGAATCGAACCCGGAACCTCTGTGTCACAAGGCAGCGCGTATACCGACTAAGCTTAAGAAGTACTTTGTTAGCTCAACCGCTTTCGGATGACTGATTATCTACTATATTTACTAAGGGAAGCAATCCCGTCACACTAATAATAATTTCTGCTTATTTAACATTTAAAGTGGAATCGACTTTCACAACATATTTTGTAAACTTGGTTATTGTCCCCAATATGCATGAAATGCCAATGAACGAACACAAAATATTGATATCAATCAACTTTGTAATATTTTTGTTGAATGTTGACGCGTACGATCAAAATGCTTGAGGTTAATTTACCAACAGTATAATTTCTCTTAATTGTAACAGTACAACATAAGAACGAACTATAAAAATCAGTTGAAAAAGGCCTAACTCATCTAATGGATACAAATAGAAATACATTTAACAGAACAAACAGAGTGGACGTGGCCAGGTACTTGTATATCCCAACCACAAAAAGACACTAAGTACTGATCTGAGAGTACTCGCAGTTACTGACAGCTAGTTCAAAGCCACTATCAACTAATAAAAAAAAGTCTTTCATTTCTTTGAATCCAATTATCTTTATTTTTCTTCTTTTTTTTGGGAGGGGGGAGGGGGTGTTCATCATTTAAAGCTTGCCATATTGAGTTGCCTCATTCTAAAATCTGTACATTGACTTAATAGTAGTATACAGCTTTGTTGTATTGTTTCTGTTAAGGTTCATCTCATTCCAAGTTTTTGTACTGACATGTACACTGTAGGTTAAGTACATTATGTATCATTTTTTTAATACAATATATACATAAATGAGACAGCAACCTAACAGCGAATTATTTTGTGAAGATTTTATGTTTTCCTTTTTTGTAAATATAGAAAAAGATCAGTTTTTCACTAGAGAATATTGGATGTAAATAGTGTGAAAGCGTTGATCTTGATATCATTGTTTTGTTTATATTAGACCGGTTTATTGTTTACATAAATTAAAAGGTGAAAATTAGAAAAGTGTTCAAGGAACCAGTTTGATTAATAGATATTGACATAGAAGATATGATTTTATATCGAAGTCTACCAAAACGCAAATGCACAGAACAACTTCGACAATCCAGTATATATAAATATTACAATTAGTGACAATTTAAAAGCATATGATTTAAGGGGTTTGATTAGAAAAATTACCAAAATCTAATTGTAAATAAAGAATTACATTGTGTTATCGTGTGTTCAAAGTGAGTACTAAATCACTTCATCAATGTAGGAATCTAAAATAAGAGTGTAATAAATCCCGGTTCAAAGTAACTAGTGCAATCATTCCAGGTACAAAATCACTAATGTAATAATTCCTGGTTCAAAATCACTAGTGTAATCATTCCTGGTTCAAAACATTTGTGTGAACATTTCGTGGAAAACACTAGTTTACTTTGTCAATTTTTACATAAATCAGCTATGCAAGTTTTAGTTAATTCAAATACCTCCAAAACATACCAAGCCCCATTTTTTTTTTAAACATTCCCCCTTCAAAAAACTCTCTTAAGAATCTTATCAAGAGTGGTGGATATTTTATACTGGACCCGGATTAAAAACCCTAGTGAATTTTCGTTGGTGGATAAAAAACACTAGGGATTTTCATCCTCTGGATAAAGTACACTGGCGGAATCAAACCACTGTTACACATGTATGTCTATTCCTTTAACTTGGACTGGCTCCCAGGAAGGGCAGAAGTTGATCCCGCCGACTTGTTATAATTAAATAAAGAAGTTATAACTTACAGCCTTGTTCTGTTTTGTTGTGAATTTCATGGACGAGGCAATCCTTGCACAATAACAAATTGGGCTCATAAGCTGGAATGCTCCGTTGAACGAAATTTTGCTTTTTCACCTTTTGTTTCCAAATCTTTCGTCTGTGTGGGTCTTTCGGAAATGTAAACAAACATAATCCCTGACCTAACCTAGTATTACAGTTACACAAAACACCATAGCCGGTTAAAGTTGTTTACAAGTTTACAAGTCTACAAGTCTACGTTTTAATAGTATTTCAATACCATTGTAACAAAGGACTCAAATGACGTCACAGCGAGAAGGAAATAAAGGGAGATAAACAAGTTTGGTATTTCCTGCAGTTTTCGACACCAATATTTACTGTTATTTTTAGTACCAGCGAGGTTTGAAATTATAGTATAAAAATGAATTTCAACATTTTTAACATAAATTCTTGCGACTTACACCTTTTCCTCATAAAAAATTTTCTACCTTTGCATTTCTCCTTTAATGATTTTGTTATAAAGTCATTTGGTTTCAACGTACGATATATTTTCAGAAACATAAATATGATTAACCAATTCCGAAAAAGTGAACAAGTCTATTTTGCTGAGATAATTGTATAAGATTGGAAATTGAAAATATTCTTGTTTTTAATTTTCTTCCAGAAAAAGAAGAACACGACATATCGTTCTCTGCGAGACTTGGAACATCTATTGCAGATATTAATCCTTGGGATACGGTTGTATTTGATCAAGTGATTTCTAACAACGGTAACTCTTATAACGCAGCTACAGGTATCTTTACTGCTCCAATAGCAGGTTCATACCACTTCTCCTCTACAATAATGACGCTTCATGGATCGATAACGGAGATATCACTTAAAGTAAACAAGGAGAATAGTATGTGGATGTATCCGTGTGCTTCCACTGAGAAAGGTAATACTGCAACAAACAGCATCATTATTAAACTAAATAAGGACGATAAAGTAAGACTCGTCAAGCATGGTCCATGGCAAGTGCGTCCGTTTTACATCCATGCTGATTGGAGCACGTTCACTGGTTTCTTACTTTAGATCATAGATATACCGGTATATATGTGAAGCATTCTTATAAACTTATACATTCAATGAAATAGTAACATACTGTCTTCAGTTAATACACATAATAGTTTAATAAAATTTGCACACTGCATCAATTTTTCATGCCATTTTCCTTAACATAAATTGATGGTAGACATATCTTAATTTAGGTGAAGAAAGAAAGATCTATCATTTGCACATATTTCTTTATATTGTGTTATAAGCTTAGTATTCATGCAAGTCCAACTGGCAGTTGATTGAACATCTCATTCTTTTTTTAAATCAATACTTTTGTTATGGCACCGAAAAATGAAAATCGGCCAACCTTTTTAACACCATGTATACCACAATACCATGCAAAATTTGGAAATTTTTTGGAATTTTTTTCAAGCACTATTATATTCAACGATGTACATGATGTAAATTAAATTAACAATGAAAATAATACAATTACAATAAATAATGCCATAAATAATGATTTCATGGTACAAATGGAAATAATTCAGTAAAAAATGCATTTTTGAAAATCTGTAAAAAGTAACTATTTTTCTTCAAATTAAGAGTTCTGCATTTATCATAAATGTTTAAGATATTTCCATTCTTTTCATAAAGTAAAATATAAAAGAAAGCATACGAAGGTGTACTTTCAAGAGAATGTTTAGTCCAAAAAAAGATGTATTTTTTTTCAATGAGTCTGTTGAAAAATGCCAAAACAATTTTTGACAAAAAATAAAAAAAAAAAATTAAATATCACTCTGTATATATACATGTAATTTTGAAAGGTTGTATCTTCAAAAAGAGCAATAATCTAACAAGTTGTAGATACCTAACAAATAAAAGTCACTATAACATTAATTTTTTAAATGACCAAGGGGATAATACAAATAATTCCAATTGTATAAACTGACTGCTAAAATATTTTGTACTGTCATATTTTACTAGTTCAGTCATCACAGTTTAACTCATGACATGTATTCAAATATTTCTTTTTTTTGAAAAAATTATAAAAAAAATATTTCTTGCACACTTTTTTTAGTGTTTAGGTGACTGTAGTTCTCCAAAACTGCATAGAGACTCAGTTTTCATACAGCCACAACAAGGTCAAGGTAAATCTAACATAATATTTAGTAAAAACATAACTATCGGAGATACCGTATCAACTAATTATCAATTACATGATCTCAAAATCTTTGAGATGCAGGCATCAATGTCAACAGTAATAGACACAAATGAGGAACATACATTGCACATGTTGCATTCCGCTGCAAGTATACTTAGAAAAAAACTCTACAGATTTCCACAGAAGAATACCAATACTCTGATGAATTGTCTCTCTTTCTTCAATTCATTTTATGCCTTCGTCTTTATTGCAGTTCATTTCATGGTTACTGAATGATACTGAGTGCATACAGCCAAGTCTATAATCAGAAAATGGCACCGGAAAAATAACATAAATGCTTGGCAATTGTTGCATCCATTGTTTTCTATGAAATAAATCAGTTTTACTGCTTTACATTTAAGATTTGCTTTTTAAATGTATCATGAGTTTGGTTCAAAACGCTTTGTTGAAACAGTAAATGCTAATGTATTTTGTGCTTCGTACAGTGAAGTGCGACTCCATCTAGAAAGTATTATCGGTGGGATGGGGGTCTTGTTAAAGAAGTTGCTGATAACATTGATCTGAATACGTGATAAATAGATGAAAAAAAACCCTTTCATTAAAGGCATGGGCAGTTTTTCAAGTCAGTAGACCGAGGATGCCAAACATTTGAACAAAACTCCCCAGAGTTTATAATGCATATTGATTAAAACATCATTTTGTGCTACAGAAAGAAAAAATTCTCAGGATAAGGTATAGGTGCTATTGAGATCTTTATCGGCGGTATTCTTTAATTAACTTTTGCATTACAATTTGACACTCCCCAACTTCCTTTCTGCAGTGAGTAAAATAGCACTCTTCCAGATGTCAGGCCAGAATTCTTAGTTTTTTCATACCCTCCCATTATGGACTTGAAGCCAAGTTATATGTCAACAGTATATACTACCATGAAAAATGCTTGGACATGACCGAGTTAATTGGACAAAATCATGTTATTCAGACATCTACATGTAACCAACAACTGTATGGGAAATTCATTTTGTATGTGCCTGTCCCAAGTCAGGAGCCTGTCATTCAGTGGTTGTCGATTGTTTCTGTATATCATATTGGTTTCAGTTCATTATTATGTACGTAAATCAGGTCGTTTGATTTTTGGTTTAAATTGTTTTACATTTGTCATTTCGGAGACATTACGAGCTGTCTATGCGGTAAGTCTTTAACTCATTGTTGAAGGCGGTACGTAGACCTATAGATATTAGCTTATGTGTCAGTTGGTCTCGTATGGAGGGTTTTCGCATTGGCAGTCGTATCACATCTTCTTATCTTTATATTGAATACCTATTGAAGTATGTGGCACCTTGCAAGGGAAAAAAGATGGGATTAAAGGTGTTAACCGATCATGAAATAGACATTTAACCAGAACAATATACACAACAGTAGATAATACTATGGAAGCAGAAATAATTGTGAAAAACCCCGAAGAAACGAGTAGTCTATAAACATAAAAGTATCCGCAAATAGATTCAATTTTAGGTCATATTTGACTGTAGTGTTCTTTTGCTTCTGGTTTGATACCCCACCCAATATGATAGTCTAAAATAATTTTGAAATATTGTCTTTCATGAAATTTGAATTTTACTGGAAATTAGAATAAGGTGACCTAAACATTTGTTAAAGTTTTGTTTCAAAACGTTGTTTTCGGATTTTTTTGGTGAAAAAAATGTTTATGTTGAGGTTTGTGTATTCAAACAGACATTACTAAAGCCAAAAACAGTACCGTTTGTATTTAGATAGAGATTAGAAATAGAAAAAAATGTCAAAATTGAAACCCTTCAAAATGTTCGCCGATTTGTAAAGATGACTTTTGACCTTTGACCTCAATTTAAAAAAAATGTGACCATATCAGGGCCGTAAAACAGGCATATTATCATAGTAAAAGGTTTACTGATTTGAATGATATATACTAGTCAACAAAAGAACGTGACATGTTTGTAAGATCATTTACATTTTCATAACAAAAAATTGATAACAATAAGTTAATGGAATAGTTATCTAACATCATTTTCAAGAGAACAATTACAAGTTTTGAAAAAATATTGCACATTTTCGGACAATTTGAATAAGACAAGTTCAAAATTCAAGTTAACATGTCAATACCGTGTATGACCACCTCTTGCATTTATAACCGCCTGACACCTACGTCGCATTGAATCAATAAGACGTCGAATGAAATCTTCGGGGGATGTTGTTCCATTTCCTGAAAAGTGCTATTCGGCGAGCGTTTGCGGTGGATGAGGGCTATTTCTGATACGTCGCCCCAGTTCGTCCCAAATATGTTCGATTGGCGATAAATCTGGAGACATTGCTGACCATGGCAACACACGAATGTGATTATTCTCAAAAAAGTTCATCGAAATGTGTGCCACGTGACAACGGGTGTTTTCCTGCTGAAAAATGTCTTCGGAGAAACAAGAGAACGACTGGAGCCAGATTTTAGTCCCTATACCTTGTTGTATTTAGGTTGCCATCAATAAATGTGAGATCGGTGCGTTCTTGGTCGGTTATTCCGCCCCATACCATAATTCCGCCACCACCAAACCAATCTGTTTCCTGTGTGAACGCATCAGAAAATCGTGCATTGCGCCTCCGGTAGACCCTGGCTCTGCCGTCGCTAAATTTCAAGTTGAATTTCGATTCTTCGGTAAAAAGGACCTGTCTCCATGTTAGCATATCTATCGAATCTGTACCCGAGTCCATTGAAGTCGCGCCATCCTGTGACGCTTGCGTAAAAATATGTCTTTTTTTACAATTAGTAAATTTGATAGATAAATTGTAAATCATTCAGGTTACTAGTTTTAATCTTGAAAATATTTTAAATTAATATATGTATTTCTTTTTAATTAAAAACCAATGTAACGTTTCTTTTTTGGCCTAGTATATTACAGTATATAGGTGTGTGCTCGTAGGGATAATTAAATTCCCAAAAATCTGCCCTCAGTCATCGCACTACATAGTGTGTTGGCTGTTATTAAATACTGGTTAATCGATTTAAATCCCAGATGACATGTTTTGACATATTTGTAATTCTTTGACACAATATGAATATGATTTTATTATTCCGGGGTCCATTCGGAATTTGGAATTAATCGAGTTTTAGACAACGAGTTTGAACTGTATGTTGTTGTGTATACTTTACTACGCCAGAGCATGGGCTAAACGAGAAGAAGTTGAACTGGACACTTTGTCAGAATGGGTCAAAACTATCAGGTCTCTGATAAAACGTCGCATTCATAAGTTGAAAAACTGTGTGAATGATCTACCAAAGTCCGTTTTTAGAGACAAAGAGGATGTGAAATGTCTATCATCTCTTCATGATAAGTATGTTGTTGTTCCTGCGGACAAAGCTTCAAATAAAATTGTCTTTGTATGTAAATCGTATTACTACGAATGTCTTGTAAAAGAATAAGAAAATAAATGAGCACTCATGTAATCCCACATACAAAGACATATCATTTGACAAGGATGAGATTTTGGCAAATCATAAGTCCTTCATGGCTTCAATGAACATTACATTGCACAACAAATCGGTGGACTTACCTTGTTTGTATTGGATACCTCAGCTTCACAAAATTCCGTACAAACAACGGTTCTTTGCCGGCTCATCTGCATGTTCCACTAAAGAATTGTCCATTCGATTGACTAAAATTCTGTCCGCAGTGAAAGAGGGTCTTCAGAAATACTGTGAAACTGTTTACTCGTGTAGTGGTATTAACCATATGTGGATTCTTAAAAATTCTAAAGAACTTCTAGATAATTTTAAATCTCGGTCTTTTTCCGAAATTAGTTCTATCAAAACTTTTGATTTTTCAACCCTGTATACCACCATTCCCCATGTTAAATTGAAAAATCGCCTGAAAGAGATAATCCACAATGTCTTTCAACATAAAAATGGTTGCATACGCTATAAATTTATTACGTTGGGATATCATAAGGCATATTTTGTTAAAAGTGAACAAAAGGGTAAAACATGCTACACAGAGAAACAAGTGATCAGTATGCTGGAGTTTCTTATCGACAACATATTTGTAGAATTTGGAGGTAGACTTTTTCAACAAATTGTCGGCATTCCTATGGAAACGAACTGTGCGCCTCTCCTTGCCGACCTCTTCTTATTTTCATATGAATCGGAGTTCCTTCAGACACTTGTCAAAAACAAGAAGATCAAAGAAGCCAGATTATTTAATTTCACTTTCAGATATATTGATGATGTTCTTTTCATTAACAATCCATCCGAACTTTTTTGATTTGGTTCCATTGATATATCCCCCAAAACTAGAAATTAAAAAAAAACAACAGACACG